TGGGGTAAACACAGCCGTTTTATTTGCTCATGTGAGATGATCTGCAAATCGGGCGTTACTTTTGGTGGCTACTGTACTTTTAATTTGATGTTTTAATATTTATCTTGCGCGTGATATTCTAATATTAATATATTCGTGTAGAACGGCCCACATGCTCGAATAGTTTGTGAAGTAGGTAATCGCCAGTCTACTGCAGAATGGAACACTAAATGCCAACTATGGATGAATCAGGTTTATGTACGATATGTACTTGGGATTTAAGTTACATAAAAAAAGGACTACAAGAGATGGTCGAGAACGATATCACAGATCGATGACAGCCAGGTTGTGGCAACAAGATATAGCAAGGTATCAAGAGGTAAGATACTAATTTGTTAATTTGTATTTTTTTTTTTTTTTTTGTAATTATTTAGTTTCAGCATTTTTTAGTGGGAGTTTGGAACTCATAGTCGAGGAAATAACAATCCTACTGCGTGTAATGCACCTGGTCTTCCTGCATTTCAAGTTAATATTCCAGTTTCGGAAGTTTTTTGGGATCCGCCAATACCAACTGTAGCTGGATATACACCAGCAGTTCCTTTCTTAATCACTGCTGTCGATTTTAGCATTGATTTATACCAAATTCAACAATTAGTCTTGAATAATCAAAATAATACATAGCCGTCAACAGGGTTTATTAACTTGCCGGTCATTCAAACGTGCTATTCTTGATACCATTGGAAAACCCAAGCTTTTTTAAATATATTAAATTTAATTCCATTATAATTTGAATTATTTTTATTTTCTCTATAAGTTGTTTTTCTTAAAATTACATTTTCTATTATCGAATCCACTTCGATTTATATGATCAATTATCTTGTAACTTGGATAAACCATTCGATGAAATTGAATAGTTATTTCTTTATTTGCTTTTTTAATATTTGTTACAATATAATATGTATTTTGATATTTTTGAGAATACCAAGTAAAATTCTTGAGTAAATTAAAATTATCGATATCACATAGAAATGTAATATCTGGGTTTTGTGTTTTTACTTCATAGTAAAGTTTGTTACATTATTTTTTCCTTGCATTTTAGGCTTCGGTCTTGCAGTTACAGTATGACAGCCTTAGTTTGAAGGTATTTATTTGGCTTCGTGATACAAAAACTTAAAAACGCGGAGTACATGCCGCAACGCGAAACGTTTCTGCAGGTTTACCGAACCATCTATAAGTGCACTCGTCAGGGGATGTGCATTTATGGGGTGTCTAACTATAATGTGTGATAATGTCTTAAGCACATTATTACGAAAGTTAAAATTTGGTCAAATGATCTGACTTATAGGGAGAAAAATGCACTTATGGTGGCTACACTTACGGTAATATAATATTAAAGCGAATGATTAATAAAGACACAAACTTCCATTATATCTTATTTAGTTTAGAAGAAAAAGTTGTTACGTATATGGTTTGTGAAGCTAAAACTTAACCATACTTGTATCTCTGGTACACATAGGAGCATAGTGCAGAATACATTGTTTTCAACTTGCTTACATGAGTTCAAACCGTTCAAAAATGCTTTACATTTGCAAAATTTTATTAATTTTAACCAAATTTTGCCTTGGTAAGATAAATTTGTTGATAGGCAGGACGATTTGACCATGTGAAATAAGGAATCAAGGGTCTTTATCTTCGGTACTTAAATATGAATGCTATCAAGAAAAACCAAATTTCACAGTACCAGACAACACTTACAATTATTTTAAGTAATTGAAGCAGATTACGATCAGTATACGACTTGCAATCTATCCGTATGCTATTACCCTGATCAGTGCGGTTAATACCTCAAATTTTCCAAAGTCCAGTGCTGTGAAAATTTAAATTTGTGTGACGCCAAGGGAAAACCAAACTTTGAGCTTTCAAGTTTATTATTTATTATTTTCCAGACTTAACTTTGACCTGCGACATATGTAATAGTAATTAAATTTACCGTAACAGTAATTACACTCGTATATAAAATAGCTTATTTAGCAGTGATCTATTATACAATAAATTTATCAACTTTTTAATAGTCAAACTATTTCGAATCTTGATAATTCATTGAGTTGGCCATTCCAAATCAACTTCTAAAACATCCAAAGCTAAAATATCTGCATGACATCCGATCATATCCCCAAAATTTGGAACAGTTCTTCCCAAATCTCCGTGGATAAATTCTTTAATATATCTGCGAAAAAAAATCACAATTATATTAAAAATAGTTAAGGAATGGGCGAATATTATCATATTCCTAAAAAAAAAGTGAATTAAAATAGGATACGTTCCAGCTTCAGTTTTCATTTTTAAGGTTAGAAAATTATCTTCCATTTGTTCAGCAAAAATATAATGTATCTTTTTAGTACGTACTGCTGGTGAACGTCTAATTAACAATAATGAAAATTGAGCGAAATAGGATACAGAAAAATTTTCATATGAACGTTAATCATACCTATGTAAAACTCGAATTGGTGTTTGCTGTTCGATAATAAATCCTTCACGAAGCTTGTTTATCTCGTCAATTATTTCAGATGTTACTTTTTTAGAAATCCAAACCAGTGCACTTTTTGAACAAAATAATAATAATAATAATAATAATAATAATTTGTAGCATTCATATTAGAAAAATATTAGAGAAATGGGCAGTAGGCAATTTTGTCTAAAACTACATAATAATAATCTACGACAAAGACTAACCTATATGTTTTTGTTTTCGTTTCTTCACCTTCTTTAATAATAGATAAATCCTGTTTACTTTTTTAAAAAAATTTTTAAACACAATTATAAATGAATTGTTTTATTACATAGTTACATACTTGGTTATATTTGTTAATCTATGGCATCGCACCAACTCCGTACTTTCCTTATTTATTTCTTCTTGTACAGCATTTAGAGCTTCTTGAGATGGAAATGGATTCCGGGGATTGATTATCTCCATGAAAAATGGTCTACCACTACCCAACATACGCACATTAGAATCCTCCCGACCTGCTGGCACAAAATTATAATCTTAAAAAAAAAAAAAAAATTCTTAGTGAGAACTTTATCAATTTATAGGAAAATGACACAATTTAAAAAAAAAAAAACAAAAAAAACCATAAACCTACCATCACACCTAAGTAATTCGCGTATTTTTTCTCCAATGCATTCGGAAACAGAAGTTGGTGCCAATTTAACGCCATTGATAATCCATGGGGTTTGACTAATATCTCGTGAAAATTTATTATACCTCCCTAATTGATAAAAGTGAATATCAATATTTTCAAAATGCAACAATTCGTAAAAAAAAAAAAAAAAACAATTATAAACAATTTTATATGCAATTTACAAACCCCCAACATAAACAGTTGCGTGCTCCAATATTGGTGGTTTATGCTTCCATCGTTCTTTCACAGATGGTGGACAATTGTTACACATTCTTTTGGGAATTTAAAAAATATATTAATCATTTAAACCAAGGTTTTCAAACGCCATTTTTTCATATTTTACAACATACTTTAAAAATTCTTCATCTGATACTTTTTGTAAAGCGTTAATTATGTTTGGACGTGAACCTCCCGTCCGAATATGTTTGCCCTATAAAATATTAAGAATTAATAAACTGAATCTACAAACATTAACATTGAAATTATTAATAATCCAAATTTTACTTTAACACGAGTCTTTTTAATTCCAAATCCAGCAGAGGGTATTTTTGTCAGAAACATGTGAATTCTCTGCGTTTCTTCATGATAATATTCTATAGATATGTTAAATTGGCTTTGACCTTTATATTCCAATCCTGTTTGTTTTTCAATACCCCAACCTAATAATGGCTTGAAAATTTCTTTCAAGTCCATTAATTTAGTCAAAGAGCATTGGACTTTTAAATCACTAATTTTCAAATAAAAATAAGTTTAAAAGTTACATCACTAATATAAAAATCTTTGTTATGATATAACTTACTGGCACATTTTTCGAATCCAAACTACCATTGAATGATTATTTACCAATATACCAATAGGCATAGTAATAGATAGATTAAAATCTTTCACATCGAAATTATGAGCTAAAATGCTTTGGTAAATTGGCCAAACACACTCAATAGTATCCGCTTGATAAAGTAGGTCGAAACATGTAACGCAAATAGGTTTATCTTGAGGTTCACATGAAACTATTTCAGTAAAAGAATGTTTTATAGATGAAATTAATTTAGGATCGATCAATTTGAGTGAATCTTCACGAATGCGACTGATAAGCCTGAGTAAAGCCTAAAAATTTAGGAATATTAAGTTTAAATTACAACTTTTACTTAAGAGAATATGAAGGTTTACGCATACTTCTTCCGATGCAGAATAGATGTTATAATCATGGACATTTAAGAACCTAAAAATGCATCTGGCACAACATTTTGAATTCAACATTGTATCAATAATGATGGGTATTGCATCATTGTTATTATGACATGAAATTTGCTTGATAATATCCTCATAGAAATTCTCAATATCTACAATTTATAATTTAGTTAATATTTAGATAATACTATTAATTTTTCTTATAGAATTAATTTACCTTGAGAAACTTCATCGCATCGAATTCTTTTCCACTTATCAGACTCGTCAGAAATTCTGGTAGGTAGCGTTAAGTCTATTTATTGTAATTAATATATTGGCATTTCTAGAAATGCCTAAACTATTGATTGATATTTGACAATTTGACAATATTAATATACGAACCATGATCGGTTTCCCAAAGTCTTTTTTTTGACATGATGAAAATCAATTTTCGATAAAAAATGGTGAATCTGTATACTGTAATATTAAATTCCTAGCCAATCAAATTTGTACCCTTTTTGGTGTTCATACCCTCCAACAAAGGTCACCGACAGTGTTCAAAATTGAGAAAATTGTTATATAAATTTTTTTTTTACTATTATGGACAGTAAAATTATATTAAAAATTTATTATAATTTATTAGTAGAGTAAATACTCATATTGTAGAACTAAACTTTGTCTTTAAAAAGTTGAGTCACAGACTAAACCATTCTTTTCCGTAATACTATAATGCTGATGCTGAAATTTTGGATCTCGATTTGAAAATATAAGCCCTACTAAAATCCACATATACTTCTTTATTAGCACTCTAGTATTAAATTCTAATCGAACTCTAAAAAAAAGCTGAAAAAAAACTTCAGAAAAATTTAAAATTTCAGCATCAGCTTTTAGAGATTTTATCGTCAAAATCATTACCCGGGTTTATTAAATTACCCGGTTATCTGGGTAATTTATTATAACTATATAATAAAAAATGTCTACCCGGGTACAATCTCTATACCGGTAATCAATAATCACGTCTACTTAAACTATACTAAATAAGATTTTTGGTTTAAAACTATTCAGCTGTAGCATTTATTGAATTAGTTAAAGTTTTAAACCAAAAATCTTATTTAGTATAGTTTAAGTAGACGTGATTATTGATTACCGGTATTATTACAGTATTAATTACAAGTCACTCTCGTTATAGTGAACTATATAGTGAAGATCTTGATATAGTGAAGAATTTTTTTTAAATTCATTGCCATTATTATTAACTTTTCTCTCCATATAATAAAGTTTATATAGCATTC